TTTTCTCCATCTCTACCATTTTAAACAAGGTAATACTGTTTGTTCTGTCAACAGTCTTAATAATGTATTATACTTTAAAAATGACTATTTTGGGATCATGGTGGGGTTTTGGAAGAACTAAGTGCTGCTGCTCTTGGACTATAAATCTGTGGTGGTTAGTTAAAAGGCTAAATTAACATTAACAGGTCCAGTCACTTTGACCTCAGTGGAGTTAAAACAAGTAGCAGGGCAAGTTCAGTGGCTTTAAATGAGTTATTAGTCAAATCCCAGCAAAACCAGATAAATTTTATGTCATTCTGTTTTGTAACTTTCATCCAGAGAACTCTGGCTGACTGGTGACTTCACATATTCTGGTCTGTGCTTTCCTGCTAGCAATATGTTTCCTGTCCTGGCACTCCAGTCTCTGCATTTCTTCTATTTTGGCCTAAAGGAGTCTGTTCTGATTATTTTGACTTTACCTTGCCTATGGAGTCAGCCCAACAAACTCAGCATGAATCAGATCTACTGCCTATGTGGTGTGTGTGTGCACATGTCCACAGCTGTTCATGCCTGGGAGCTTGTGCTCACCAAGGCGAGACTAAAGCTGGAACTTAAGAGTCCAGGTACTGCTCCTGTTTTGATTGGATGTAATTTCTGAGTTGAACCTGAAGACACATGTGTCAGGACCTGGAAGTTTCCCAGCCCTGCATGTGAATCAGGGGCAGGCATAGCATTGAGATGTACATTGAGCTTCTGCTCCGCAGTGGGTGTTTGCAGGTGTCTGTCTGTTTGGGATGCATTCCTATGGGCTGGTTCTGTGTCTTAAGCAGTGGCAGCTGGTACATGCTCAAGGATGCTATTGATTTTTCATTTGTTCTGCTTTTTCCTCCCTAAAAATCCCTACATTTATTTTATTTTGGTTTTATTCTCCCCGATATTGTGATTTGGAAAGCATATAAACAAAATGCAGATTTATAAGAAGGCAATTCCTGTTTCTTTAATGTTTCTTATGCCTAGATTCTGCTCAATAATTGCCATCTTTCTATGTGCATTCTTTAGTCAAGCAAATAAGCTAGATTTAATGAGATCTTTTTCCTTATGCAAGGACCTCTTCAGCAAGAAGAGAGAAAGATAAGTAGTAATATTTGCTAACATAAATCATAAGGAGAAATGTTAGTATTTGTAGAAGGAACACAAGGTAGTGGGTTGCAGTTGCAACCATTCATCCTTGATTGATTCCTGAAAGTAATATATATTTGCATAATGCAGGCATGTTTTGGAGGAGGGGAACAGGAAGGAAAATGTTTTTATCCTTTTATTCTTACTCTTGTTTTCCTCTCCTTTTCTCAGTTTTGATACATTTTCAGTTTTGACAAGATTTTCTTTCTTGCCAGATATCAACAAAAGCAAAGAATGTGTTCAGTAGTGTTTTAATTAGTGAGTGAAGTTTACTTATATTTGTTTAGTTCTCCTAAACTGCATAGTGCATAGATGGTGAGAACACTGAAGTCTGGAAAAGCCCCATCTACCTCGTGTCCCTAACACTTCTACTTTAGCTTCACTGACATCATCCACAGTCACTTGGAGCATCTTCCTTAACTCAGGTTTGATGTTGTCGAGTTAGGGACGGGAAGAAATTACTATAGTCTTTAGAAGGTGAATCGGAAGGATTCAATGAAAAATAGTGTGTGTTTTATAATGCGACTCGCTAAGGTGAGACTTGATTTGTCTTAAAGTAAAAACTTGTCCCACTATTGGTGAACTGTAGTGTAGTCCTAGTACACTTTGGAGAACTATAGTTCTATAAACAGTGGTTATAGAAAAAGAGATAGATATTGTTTTAATTCTTTTCTCTAAGTTTTCCACAGCTTCTCACTGCTTCTTAGGAAAACCTTGGGATAGCTATGTCTCTCTGTTTGGAGGATATGTGATTACTACACAGGTTGTCAACTTTTTTTTTTTACCAAGGCTGGCTGGTAAAATGATGTGGAGCTTGCATGTTCTCATCCCACTCAGTGTCCTTTTTTGTCTTGTGAGGTGAGCAGGGGTTGTCATTAGGTGTTTTGTGAAGATCCTGAGTGCCTGGACAAGCTCCCAGCTGTCTGGGTGAGGTGAGGTTCTGCTGTGGCACACTGCCTGAGCAGTGCCATGCAGCTGCCCAGAAGCGGGAAGCCTCGGCGTGCAGACGAGCCACGGTGTCTAGGCGTGCTGTGATTGTTTCTTTGCTCAGTTCTATGTGGAGCCAAATAGCTTTTCAGGTGTAGCAGACAGATGTGAGCACAGTGTCTGCACCTGTGTAACAGCAGAGGTGGTAACTGCGTGTGTGCTCTCCGTGATGCCCCTGCCAGATTCAATCACGCTGCTTGCTCATACCAGTGACTTGTGTACCGGATCCTCTCAGCAGCAGGAATCAGCACTCCCCTGTGTCCTGCTTTAAATCTTGTGATGATGTCTTGAACCCTTCCACTAGTATACACCTCTGTCTATTTTTGTCCATTTGCAGAAGTCCCCTCGCTGCCCCATTCTTTTAAATTAGTGGGCTTCTGGGAAATAAAACGTACCATGGCTGAATTCCCCTCTTGTGTACCTGTGTTTGTCATTGAGAGTAGGTACAAACAGCTGTTTGGGAAGTGAGTTTGTCTGTTGCTTTTCCTGACCATTTCCATAAAAGTTTTTCTGTTAGACTGAAATTGATCATCCATTCCAGAAGTCATTTTGAAAGGAAAGAGTGGGAGACAGAGGCATGACACAAAGCCACTCTAGCCTTTTTACTTTAGCAACAGATGCTAAACCAAAGCAAAAGTAAGCTAAAACATGACTGCATACCTTCCAGTAAAATAATTGATGGGGGATTTTTTTGCAGTTAGACTTGTAATTTTGGTGGCTTTATTTACAGTTTCTGTAGGACTGGTTTGGTGTGGGCTGTGTAGACTGAGTTAGCTTAATTTTAGCTTAAATAAGTGAATACTCAGGGTGGTTTCTGGTGTTATCCAACCCACAGCATGTACTGTATTGTACTTGACTAGAGTGCTGCCACAGTCACAGGAGCAGCAGAGCTGCCATATGAAGAAGGGAAGCAAGAAGTGAATCTGTAGAAATCTAACTTTTACGTATAAGTTTTTGTGTGAGTGCATGTTTTCCCTAAATCAATAAGATGGGTTCATATCCTGCTTTCCAGTTTTGTTTAGGTAATTATTGAGATTAGAATAAAAGTAACCTTGCTTAAGTTTTTATTTTGATTGAATAAAATCTGATATGTTTATGTAGAAATAAGAATCATGAAGTGAGCAGGTTCAGGTGCTTATAGAAAGCACTAGTAGTGTTAAGCTTGTTTAGGAAAATTGAGGTATACAGCCTTCTTTGTAATGTTTCAAAGTCTAATAATTCAGCTGCTCATTCTGGTGTAGTGAGTGCATACATAAATCACTAGCACACTGCATCTTGGAGATGGGTTGCTTGTAATTGTCTGTAAAACTTACTGCATGGTAACAGTTATAATTAATTACTTGACAGACTGAACGTCTCAGAGTAGTTTGTCATCAACATGCACTGGTGACGGGTAGTTTGAGTGCTGAGGTGTTTGAGTATTCTCTGGTACACAGTAGTATAAAAAGCAGAATTTGGTCCTCTTCCAAGTTTTAAATTTGTCCTTGCCTTTCTGAAAAGTGAGAGGCAAAGAAAAGGTGATGCAATGTCTTGTTGAAAATATAAGCTTCTCCTACCACCTTGGACTATGAAATTGAAAGTGACTTTCTATCCTTTAGCTTTGCTTGATCCCCGTGCCTTGGAGAACACCATCTAAATCTGCTTTTGGCAACTTCTACAACAGAGTTAGACATCACTGAATTTCATGGAGTGGTGTGTATATGTGCACATATAATATAAATGAGATAAATACCTAATTTAGGAGAAAATATGTAAATTATAATCTGAAGTACTTGATGATAGGGAGAATGAGATTCTTGAGAAATTTTGATGTGGTAAACATAAATCTCAATCTTTGTTGGCCATCCTGGAGAGGAGTTCTTGTTCGTGTGATCTTTCCAAACATTTCTATGGTTATGCATTTGGCAGACTTCCTGAGACCTTCATAGGTCAGGAAAGCATTGGAAAAAAATCACAAACACTTCCAGTCATCTAGTACAGTCATTTCATATAGTGAGTAAACAGAGTGGAACAATGACTCCTTTTTTGCCTCACGTCTCTGTTTAGGTTCAAGGGTGAGCTGTTGATTGCTGGTGTATTTGTTCTGTTCTGTAGACGTTTTCAATCTAGGAAATGAATGCTTTAATTGGACAGAGTGCTACTGTTTTTTCTTCTGAAGTGCCTTTTTCTTGAGGTGTTGAGAGCAGGAAACTGCTATGTGATTCCTGTCTTGCTGTTTCAAATAGAGATATCACTTGATTGATTAGCAGTACTTTCTTTGATTCAATAATTTAAAAAAGCAAGATAATTTTTTGAATATTTGTCTTGTATTTGTCATTCCTACAAGATGGGTTAATGTCTTGAAATGTGCGTAATGATGCATCACTCTCTTGAAAATGCCTTTTGTATTGTTTTGAGATATTAGAGAATAAATACATTTTTCTTTTGAACTTTGTTTTATGGAAAGGTGGAAGAATACTGAAGTTTTACCCACCTGAATTTTGTTATGGATTTTACTCAGGGACAAATTTAAGTCCATGTATTAGACGTGTTTCATTTTAGTGGTATTAAGGCACCAAGGCAAAATTTTATAGTAAGGATTTTTCTCAAATTCATGTCTCATGGATTTTGATAATTTTGCAGCAAGTATTTCTTTTCTGATTCTCATCCCAAGTTGCCAGGTGTTTTAAAAATCGATTTTTTTTCCTGTCTCTTTCTATTTGGTTCTTGTTCACACTATGTAGTTAAAGTGCCTTACATTTCTAATTTATTGACTTGAGACACATGTTTTATGTCTGCAATAAATGTCTGAGAATTGCTGATGAGCTGCCTCCTCAATACCTATTATCTGTCTTCTGTGTTTTCTTAACTCCTAGGAGCCTCCAAGGTAGACCCAGGATCCCACTTTGGCTCTGCATAAACACTGAACAGAGACAGTACGTGATTACAGAGGGATGGTGACTAAAAGGTGGGTAAGAGACTGTATTTTGTTCAGTCAGTAGATGATAATATCATGGAGAGATGATGTCTGGAAAAAAGACTTCTGATGTGATTTCGTAGACCATTACAGTTGTTCTGCCTTTCTCTTTTCCCTAAACTAAGGAAATCAACAAATGGAAGTGGGAGGAGAGAAAGAAAAAGAACCTGCAATTCTCCTCTCTTTTTACCTCTCTTGAATTAAGCTCAACCTCAAAAAGGAAAACAATGTAAAAATGGGGATGTTTGTTTAAAGTGACACTGAAAGAGTAACATGTTTGTAGGTGACTATTTCAAGATACTGTTTTGGAGGCTCCACACTTAGTCTAAAAATGTCTTAGGAAAAAGAAGCCTGTATAGCTAAACTTAGTCTAAAAATGTCTTAGGAAAAGGAAGCCTGTATAGCTAAATTACCAGGTAGAAGAGACTATTAAAAGTAAGAGGACATCTTAAAAAAAGCTGTGTCTGTGTTTAAAGAAGGAAATAAAACTAAAACATTTCACTATCAGGCTAAACAGAAAGTTAATGAATGTTTTTTTTTAACCACACCAAGAGCAGGAGGCCAGCTGGAGACTCTGTGTGGCCTGTGTATAATGACTCTATGGCAGGTATGATCCAAGATAAAGCCATGGCAGAAAACTGAGTAATTCTTGTGTGTATGTGCTCACCGCTGAAAAGTGTGGGGTAGTTCCTGTTTTGGAAACCTTCTTATGGGAGTTTTAGGAGATTGCCTTTCTGGAGCAAATTTAATGTTCTCAATTTAGCAGGTCCAGATGTAGTTTAGCCAGTTGTTTTAGGAAGTGTGAAATGGTAGAATGAAATAGAACAGCTACTGACTGTGGCATGTAGCCCCTTGCTTTTAAGTGTCTTGCCAGTTGAGTACTTGAAGATGTCTGATTTCATACCATATTTCAGAAAGCATTCATGTGGAAACAGGGAGTCTAAAAACCAGGGGGTCTCCTGTTTAAACTGAGTGGATTAATTACAAAATTAGATTAGTATCTCTGTTTTCGAAAGAACGTTGAGTATTACAGTGGAGATACTGAGAAAGGATTGATGTTTTTGAATAAATCCTGATTAAGAGGATGTTTAAGACCTGGGGAACTGGTTAATATTAGCCTTCAACTACTTGAAGGATGTTTACAAAGATGATGGTGCCAATGTTCCTAGTTATGGCAAACCAATAGCAGGAGGTTAACGTACACAGATTGCAAATTGAATTGTTCTGATTGGACATTGTAGGTAAACCTTTTTTCCGTAGGAGTGTAGAGGAGTATAGTACAGCACTGAATAAAACATGGGTCTGTGGTGGGGGTGGCACCTCTCCCAGTGGAGCTTTCAAGTCTGAGTTGTACAGTGCTATGGATGGCCTGATCTTTTGTGGCTTTTAATGGCTGGCCAGACTGTCTGACTGGAGGACTCCCAGAGATCTTATGTAGCTGGCATTTTTGTGATTTGAAGTCAAATCACAGAAATGGCCTGTGGTCTTTGAAGGAGACAACTGGCATGCAGGTCAAAGACATCATTGGATGTGTTGTTCTACTTAAATGATGAAAATTTATTTCATATTCAAAGTTCTCTTGAAATTTTTTTAAAGGAACTAAACAGGCACAAGTTAAGGAGGAGGACTGTGTTATTAACTTATTAACTGTGTTAATAATTGTTTAAATGGTAAGGGAACAATTTCAGGAAAAAGTGTGTTGGAAATCACCAGTCGATTCCCACAGATAGCTCCGTGAGTGCCTAGGGGTATTTTCATATTTGTAAGTGACTTGGGACAAAAATGTGATGACAAGGTTTGTTTCTGAGACTAAGTTTTACAGGACAAAAGAAGGTAAACAAAATGAGGACAGACTGAAACAAATGCAAAAGCCTTTTTTGACCGTTATGCAAACACAAAATGGAAGAAATTCAGTATCAGTTATGTTAAAGTATTTTGAGTTAGCTTGAGGTCTTGGGACTATAAGCAGCAATTTATTGAAAATTTATTGAAAAAACAGCTCTATATTTTAGTAGCAATTGGGAAGCAATTACTCTTAAAGGAGAAAAATTGAAATAATAGACCACTTTCTAAATCTGTCAAGGGTTTGTGTCTTAAAGATGGTGTGCTGTCCTGGTCTCCTCATCTCAGAACAAGTGGAGTAGAGCAGGAAAAGTTTCAGAGAAATGCAACAAAAATGAAGAAGGGCAGCAGAATGCAGAACACATCTTTGGAGCAGCATCCATACAAGAACAACTAACTAGATGAGAACTTCCAGACTGGAAAAGAGAGAATGGCCAGGTGCTAATGCTAGGTGTTTGCAAAATCATAGGAGCTGTGAGGTGTGTGTGGATGGGAAATGAATACTCAGTGCCACCTAATTTTGTACTAGAAGAGAGATGAGGTGGAACAGGCAGGGAACAGTTTTAAAGCTAGGAAAAGAAGTGTTTTGGTTTGTTTTTTTTTTTTTTTTTGGCGTAGTGTGTCAGTTCTGAAATCCTTTGCCACACCATGCTGTGTGTGCTGCATGGGTATAAAGTGCTTCTGAACAAATATGGAAAATGAGGTGGAAGAGGATAAAAAAAGAGTTGATAAGCAAAGGTACTACCCCTGGGTAAGAAAGTTACTGAGCTGCAAATTATAGAAAGTATGAAGTGTTTTGGGAAGAGTGAAAGAGAATTTTTGTATGTGGCTGCTCTAAATATCTGCTTTTCGCTGCTTCTAAAGACAGAGTAGTAGGTCAGGCTGGATGTTTTGCCTGGGTTGGTTTTGACATTTCAAACTCAGGCTGGGCTAAACAGCCAGCCTGACCCACTGTGATGGTTCTTCAATGCTATTTCATAAACAGTAAGGTTGCAGGGTGCAGTCCCAGAAGAGAAGTCTGTTGCTAACACTATTTTATAAAATGCTAAGCTGTTATGTAATTTGAGGTCTCCCACAGAGCTTGGAGCCTTTTCCCTCATTTTAAGATAAATGCTTTTAATCTTATTTTGGCACTTGATAAATTGCAATTAAATTTGTTTTAATATGTTCAAGCTGTTTCTTTGAGAGTTCAATTCTTAGTCCAAAAATCTCTGTTTTCTGTTTACCGTGTTCCCTGTACAGTCTGTAGTGCCTGTCAGGGAATGAGGAATTACCAGAAGACCTTTCCTCAATCGGTGAGTTCTAGTGACACCCATTTTGGGGTAGAGATAGTAAACTTCAAGGGAAGTGATAAGCAAGATGAATTGGCAAAGCCTAAAGGAAGTACAAAGAGAATGAGAAAACACTGATAAATTTGGAGATACTTTTGTGTTTGCAAATTAGCTTGAGAAGCAAAGTGTTGGAGTTATATTATCATCATCAAAGGGGAAAGGCTAAAAGTGACAGCATTTCATAATGATAGCAGCTTAAATGGCTGGAACAGATAAGGTTACTGGAAGGAAGATGGTCATGGGAGAAAACTAGAGGAAAGTAGGAAAGTTGATCTTAAGGAATTGAATGAAAAGATGTAAACAAAGTTGAGGAACTACTGAATAAAGATCTGAAGAATTAACAGAATTTTAGGAATTAACAGAATTTTAGGACCTGGGAATGAAAGCAACAGTGTGCTTGGTTTTTCCATAAGTGCTTTATCATGTGAGATGGATGGATCTATGCAAGTATTAAAGAGTATTCCAACTTTCTGTACCAGTATGTGTGCTTCCTCTAGGAAGTTGTCCAATGGGACTTAAAAACAAAATTTCCAAAGGGGAAAATAGTTTTCTTTTTCATTAGGTCAGAGAGGTTAGTTGCTCTCAGTAAAAATGAATTTTGTTAAAACAGTAGCAAAAATTAATCTAAAAAAGCTGAAATGGAGACTGAGAATTTCTAAGTAACATGGCCAAGACTTGCAAAAACAGAAATGATACGAAAATTTCAAATAGTAATGTACAGTCCCGAGGAAAGAGTATTTTTCTTGGGAAGAGGGGATACAAAGGTGTGGGTTTAGATATGGATGGATGGGAATTGCAGAAAAAGAGCAGTTAAAAGGGGAAAAAGAAGAATTATATAAGTCATTACCAATTTAAAGTAATGCTTAGGTAAGCCATTTCTCCACCCACCTAATTCTTTGGCCTCATTCATTTATCAAGAAAAGCTCCTTTTCTTGGGCTTCTGGCTGTTCCGGTGTCTTCCTTGTAGCTATGTGTGTGTAGTGATGAGGGTTTCCCTTTGTGCAGGACCTGTGGAATTTTAACAAATGAAACATAACAATGAAAATCTCCTTAGTAGTAGTTGCTCTTTGTTACAAGAAACCTGCATTGCTTCAAAGCAGCAACAACAACTTCAGAGTAGAAGGAGCTTCATTCTCTCTTAGGAGTTTTGTGCCTGGTGTGTGACATCACTGCAGATCACTGAGCTGCAAACAGCTTTGTACCGAAGTGATGAATTGGGCTGTGCTTGAATCTGCATATGAGGTGAAGAAGGATCAGGGTGGGATGGATGAGGTCACTGTGCCTAATGGAAAACTCTTTGTTTCTTGCTGCAGAGAATGAGACTCTTCCCATTAAAGCCAGTTAAATCTCTGAGATTAATGGCATCTAGAAGCAAGGTTTTAACACCTGGTAGGAAACTAAATGGTCTTTGATTTATAATTTTAATCTTCCTGTTTTTTTCTTATGCTTAAAATTCTAGTTAGGGATAAGGTTCAGCTCCCTCCCACTGGCACAACTGCCCTCCTTCAGGTCACACTCCTTGCAATAGAGATGCTTGCTACCTTTAATTATTCCAGATATCTCTCTTTTGTCTAAAGTCTCATGGGATGCTTTCTCTTGTCACGATGATCGAAAATGTCATAAGAATTTGTAGAAAAGGGCACTGTTTTTAGACCTTTTGAGCTGATTCTGTTGATCCAAGTTTGGTGGATTTATATATATATATATTTTTTTTTCACATGACAGAAATTTTTATACTCGCAGTGTGTGCATTAAAATATGTATAATGTGTTTGCTCTGGAAGCCCTTTTGGCAACACTGCTGAAGCAGTTTAAATTA